TCCTCCTCTTCCTCCCCAGGATCCTCCTCTTCCTCCCCAGGTCCTCCTCCCCCCCCATGATCCTCCTCCTCCTCCCCAGTTCCTCCTCCTCCTCAGGGTCCTTCTCCTCCTCCCAGCGTCCTCCTCCTCCCAGGGCCCTCCTCCTCCCAGGTTCTCCTCCTCCCCAGGGTCCTCCTCCTCCCCAGGTCTTCCTCCCAAGGGTCCTCCTCCTCCCCAGGTCTTCCTCCCCAGGGTCCTCCTCCTCCTCAGGTCCTGCTCCTCTCCAGTTCCTCCTCCTCCTCAGGGTCCTTCTCCTCCCCAGGTCCTGCTCCTCCCCGGTTCCTCCTCCTCCTCAGGGTCCTTCTCCTCGGGTCCTCCTCCTCCCCAGGTCCTCCTCCTCTCAGGTTCTCCTGATCCCCAGGGCCCTCCTCCTCCCCAGGTCTTCCTCCCCAGGGTCCTCCTCCTCCTTAAGGTCCTCCTCTCCCCAGGTCCTCCTCCTCCCCTCCCAGGATCCTCCTCCTCCCCTGGTCTTGCTCCTCCCCGGGTCCTCCTCCTCCTCAGGGTCCTTCTCTCCTCAGGTCCTCCTCTTCCCCAGGCCCTCCTCCCTAGATACCCCTTCCCCCGAAAACCTCCCCCTTCCTCCTCCCTGATCCCTCCTCCCCACTCCTCCTCCTCCCCGAGCCCACGTCCCCTCCAAGCCTCCTTTCTTGTCCTCTTCCTCAGGCCCACAGAAGCCCCTGTGAAGGCAGCAGACTGAGATGAGGCTATAATTTAAAATACATTTATTTCGTGTTTCCATTTGTTTCCGGTTCTGTGACACAAAGCTGTTAAATAAATACATTCTCCACAGTCCCTCCGGGACGGGCCACACAGATGAGGTAGAGAAATCATTGCACGCATGGAGACTCGGAGCACACATAGGGCCCCTCCCGCCCACCCACACCTGGCCAGAAGTCACCTGGGGGTCCAGGTCTCTCATGACGGGGCCCGGTGCAGAGAAGGTGGCTGGGTCCCCTGGCCAAGGAGCGGGCCGAGCCCCTCCCAGCAGCCCTTTGTCCTCTACTGCCCCACAGAAGAGAAGCGCATGAAACAGGAGGCTCCGGCCAAGCGGCCTCTTCATCCAGCAAGACATTCGAATATATGTTTGTATAGAAACCAACTCGCTAGCAGACATTTCGGTCTGCCTTGTTTAAAAAAATACTTTTCTGAATACTTATGACATAGAGCTAAATGTGGTATTTGATTAAAAATAAAAACCTTCCTCTGACTTGACATCCTTCATAGACCCCAGAGTGACTGAGTAACAGTCTTGTCATGTCATGAGGGTGTGTGGCCAGCTGCGCTGCTCGGGGTCCGGCGGGTGCGGACACAGCAGATGGCAGGGGCCACCCCCCCCAGCCAGGCCTGCACCAGACCAGGGACAAACCCAGCGTCCTGCACCCACACTGCGGTCTGGGGATGCAGCCGCAGCCACGTGTCCGGTGCACTCTGAACCACAGGAGAATAAACGTTCTTACGTACAACAACACAGGGATGGCGAGATGCACAGCAACACAAATAGGTTTTCTTTTAAAAACACAGACGCCCCCCGGGTTTTCTGGAGACCTTTGGGGCTCTGAGACACCCATTCATTCAGTAGTTCCTGTGTCCACACTGTCAGCCCACCCAGAACCCAGCCCACAGCCACCAGAACACCCACCAGATGGAGCCCGGGGTGACAGGCTCTGGGAACGTAAGGCAGCACCACGCCACTGACAGCACAGCACGGCCAAGCTGACCATGTCAGCACACACACATACACACACACACACACACACACACACACACACACTGACCATGCCAGCACACACACTCACACACACACACACTGATCATGCTAGCACACACACACAACCCACACCGACCACGCCAGTACACACACACACAGACCATGCCAGCACACACACAGAGCACACACACTCACCACGCCAGAACACACACACACACACACAAAACACACACACCGACCACGCCTGTACACACACACACACTGACCACGTCACCACACACACACACACACTGACCACGCCAGCACACACACAGACACACACACACTGACCATGCCAGCACGCACGTGCGCGCGCACACACACACACACACACACACTGACTATGCCAGTACACACACACTCACACACACACTGACCAGGCCAGTACACACACACACTGACCACGCCAGCACACACACACACACTGACTATACCAGTACACACACACACACACACACACACACACACTGACCAGGCCAGTACACACACACATTGACCATGCCAGCACACACACATAGCACACACACTGACCACACCAGTATACACACACACACTGACCATGCCAGCACACACACATAGCACACACACTGACAACACCAGTATACACACACACACACACACTGACCATGCCAGCACACACACACTGACCACGCCAGTACACACACACACACACACTGACCATGCCAGCACACACACCGACCACACCAGCACACACACACACAACCATGCCAGCACACATACACAACACACCGACCACACCTGTACACACACAGACACACACACACACACTGACCATGCCAGCACACACACACACACAGTGACCACGCCAGCACACACACTGACCACACCAGTACACACAACACACCGACCACACCAGCACACACAACACACACACTGATCATGCTAGCGCACACACACAACCCACACCGACCACGCCAGTACACACACACACAGACCATGCCAGCACACACACAGAGCACACACACTCACCACGCCAGAACACACACACACAAAAAAAACACACACACCGACCACGCCTGTACACAGACACACACACTGACCACGTCACCACACACACACACACACACACACTGACCACACCAGTACACACATTGACCACACCAGTACACACAACACACTGACCATGCCAGCACACACAACACACACACTGATCATGCTAGCACACACAACACACAGACCACACCAGTACACACAGAACACACACGCTGACCACGCACACACACACACTGACTGCACCAGTATAAACACACAACACACGCTGACCACGCCAGCGTGCACACACACACACACAAACACTGACTGCACCAGTATAAACACACAACACACGCTGACCACGCCAGCACACACACACACATACACACTGACCGCACCAGTATAAACACACAACACACGCTGACCATACCAGCACACACACACACACACACCGACGCCAGCACACACACTCTCACAACACACATGCACCACACCCTCAAAGCAAGCCAGGTTAGTGCAAGTCACACTGTCCCCAGCAAACAACAGCAGGGCCATAAAGCACGGCGTTCTGCGGCCAGATTCGAGCCCGAGACTCCCTCCACTAGCCTGTCCCAGTCTGTCCCCCAGTAACACAGAGCAAGTGGCTTCCTCATGATATGACATGAACCAAAGGGCCCTCCTGCCCCTCACAGTGCCCACACCCCACCACCATCCCCAGCCCGAGAATCTGCACTGAGCTGCCAGGCCGGGTCCTCTGCCCACAGGGTGCAGGGCCAGGGCCCCCGCTGACCCACCACGTGGCAGTGGTCAGCTGGCACGGGGCAAGGGGGGCTGCTTCCAGAAGCCCCAAGGGCTGTGGCCAGACACAGCTCACCGTATTTCCTTAACTACACACATCTATCTCGATTTAGTGGTTTCAAACGACTAAGCAGATCAGAGGCGGGGTTGGGAGGGAACAGGTCAGGGACGGAGGCAGGGCCTCCCAGACTGGGGCTTAGCCGAGAGTGGGGAGCTGCAGCCGGGGAGGTGGCAGGGATGGAGAAAATAATTATTATATTAAATAATCATAATAATTTAAAAGTCACTGATATTTACTCCAAAGAGAAGTGCTCAATGTCAGAGGTTGGCAGTGTCCCCCGAGCCTGGCACCTGCACGGCCAGGCCCCGCGGGGGCGGGACAGGCTGCGTCCTCTTCTAGTGGTTTCACTCTCTGAAGACAGTGCTGGTGTTGGGGCAGCCTGGGCCAGGCCAGGCCCCCACGGGCGGCCCACACAGAGGCCACGTGGTCACCAAGGTACACCTGCCCCTGTGCCTCAGAGGCGGTGGGGAGCAAAAGCCAGTGGGCTGGCGTGGGGCGCTGCTCCCCGGGGACTGGTGTGCTGGGGACGGGAGACAGCTCAGAAAGCATTGGAGCAATGCTCTCGGGTCAGACGGAGGAGGTCGTGGCCCAGGGCGTAAGCAGAGAGGTTGCACACACCAGACCGGAGCCAGCTCCCACCTCTGGGTCCTGGTGACAGGGAGACACAGGGCTTAGACAGCCAACTCAGATGGCCCCCGGCCCCCTGCTTCAGCTGTATGCCCCAGGGTGCCAGGAAAGACCCTCAGTCCTTGCAGGTACAGACCCCTCACACTGCATGCATGGCCCTCACCCTGCACAGCAAGGATGGCCAGGCCCAGGCAGTCATCCCTTGCAGGTGGAGACCTTCTCACACCATGTGCAATACTTGCACCCCAGGCAGCTGGGCTGGCTGGGCCCAGGCACTCAGCCTTGCAGGTGGAGATCCTCCACGCCGTGTGCAATGCCAGCACCCCGGGCAGCTGGGCTGGGCCCAGGCACTCAGCCTTGCAGGTGGAGACCCTCCACGCCGTGTGCAATGCCGGCACCCCGGGCAGCTGGGCTGGGCCCAGGCACTCAGCCTTGCAGGTGGAGACCCTCCATGCTGTGTGCAATGCCGGCACCCTGGGCAGCTGGGCTGGGCCCAGGCACTCAGCCTTGCAGGTAGAAACCCTCCACGCTGTGTGCAATGCCGGCACCCCGGGCAGCTGGGCTGGGCCCAGACACTCAGCCTTGCAGGTGGAGACCCTCCACGCCGTGTGCAATGCCAGCACCCCAGGCAGCAGGGCTGGCGGGGCCTGGGGACTCAGCCCTTGCAGGTGTAGACCTCCTCGCGCTGCGTGCACTGCCGGCACTCCACGTAGCAGCACCAGCGCACCTGGCACTGGCAGGGCCTCGTCACCACCCGGCTCTGCGTGTTATGGCCGCGGCCGCAGCAGATGCTCTCGCAGTTCTTCTCACGGTGGCACCTGCGGCCAGCAGTGCCTGGGGAGAAGCGGCCGGCCAGGCAGAAGCTGGGTGAGTCGTCCAAGTGCACAAGCTCCGGAGTGCGGGGCAGGGGGTCGCCACCACCCGTCCCCGAGACGCGGCCCCGGGGTGGGGAGATGGCGCCTGCCTCGCCCGCAGCCTCGTTGGTGGTGCTGCCCACCTTGAGTGCCGTCTCATACTTGTGCTTCAGGTGCTTGCCCACCTCGTGGAAGGGCGCCAGCTGCCGCCAGCAGGTCCGCACCGTGCAGGAGCCCGATACGCCGTGGCACTTGCAGGTGGTCTCCACCCCGGCCTTGATCACCTGGCAGGAGGGAGCAGGAGGGAGGACAGCGTGAGGGCTGTGCGGGGGGCCCAGTGAGCGGCCCCCGCCCCTGACCCCCCGGCGGACCCCGCACCTCTGCCCAGGCCACCACTGCGCCTCCCACATCCAGCTCAGGCTCCTGGCATGCAGGGCCACTCTGCCTCCTCCAGGCTGCTGACTGCACGGGACAGAGGCTCCAGGCACCTCAGCCCCCAGGGTGGCCGCCCCTGCACCTCCATGAGGGGGCTCCTGCCTGATACACACCCTGCATTGGGGGCTGCCCTCGACAGAGGCTGGACCTTCTGTCCCCGTGCTCATAATCCCAGTCCTACCCAGACTTCACGTCTGCTCTCAGCACAAGGCTCGCTAGACAGGTGAGGACAAGCGTGGCCTCACCCAGTGGCGTATGTGAGAACTGACCGTGACCTCCCTACCCCTAGAATCGGGAACCAGGTGCTATCGCGTGCAGACGCGGCCCCCAGCCCACCAGCGCTCTGGGTCAGGATGCTGGGAGGCCAGTGCAGGTATGGCAAGAGCAGGGAGGCCCACACTGCAGGGGAGAGAGCCCCTTATGCCTCTAGAGAGGGTCCAGGCCAGCCCCAGAGAGGGGTGCACCCCTCACCCACGGCAGGGAGGGCCAGGTACCCACAATCCATACTGGGGGCTGCTACAGAAGCCTGGCTGGGTCTGTCCCCTCCTGGGACTTAGGGCCCCACCTGCAAAGATGGCCTGGTGGGGAGGCCCCTTCCCAGGTGGGACCCGAGCCAGGCGGCTCAGCTCCCAGGCCAGCAGCCCCCAGGAGGGCTGGCTCAAGGAGGATAAAGACATGGCAGCCGCCTCTGGCCAGCACCCGAAGAGTCACCTTTAATGATGCTTTGCAGAGAAGCTGGGACCAATCTAATTAAAATGTGGCTGACCCAGGCTCTGTGGAGCTAAGGGCTCACCCTCCACGTTCCGCCTTCTCATTCACCTCTTACAGAGCGTGAAGAAGGGAAGGGGTCAGGCACAAAGGAAAAGAAGGAGCCTTGCCTGAGGCTTGAATCCACTCTGCAGCCTCTCCCCTGCCCACCAGCCATCCCAAGAAGGCAGAAGGAGGCACAAGAGGCCCAAAAAAGGGGGGCTGATCCTTTAGAAAGGGGGCGACTGGATATTCGGACTTCTCCACAAGTAAGGCTCAGAGCAGGGCCGGCTCTTATTACCTCGCCCTCCCCAGGCTGAGGCTCCACATTCCCGGCCTGCCTGGCGAATATGAAGATGAGGGCAGGAGGGAGAAGCGCCCCTCAGCTTCCAACAGAGGTGCCCACCCTGCCCATCCCTGCTCAGGGACTGCGGAGATGCCGGGGGCTCTGTGCGGAGTGGGGTTACAGGTCCAGCCCCGGCTCCTCCAGACACGCAGACCTGGGCACTGAAGGGCTGCAGGCAGCCACGGTCACCCCGGGCCAGCCACGGCCGCAGCCAGTGCCCTCCGCCTGCTGAAGGGCTCAGGAGAGAACTGATTCCTTTTACCTCCAAGTCTTTAGGGCGGGATACTGTCCCCCAGAACAGAGGCCTGGCCACGGAGAGGGCTGCTGGGAAGAACTGGACTCGCCCACTTGGGTGAGTGGGTACCATACCCTAGCCCTTCCCTGGGACCCCCTGCCCACCTTGCCTACCATCTTGGTCTGTGGGGGCATGTCTTCCTCCCACCAGTCTTGGAGACAAGCCTGCTGACTGGTTGGCACATGAGACGCACAGTCCCATGATCCTGGTTAGACCGCCTAACCAGGAAGACCCTCCTGGGGCCCCATGGGGTCCGGGCAGACACGGGGCACCCCTCCATGGCTAGTGCCCTGTTTGGTGGGTAGGGAGCCGTATGGGCATGAGAGGTTCCAGGGCCCTGGCTGGCACTGTACAGCCTCCATCCTCCTACAGGGAACACTCTGCTATGTGCCACCCCGGCCTGCAGCAGCCCCACCTCACCCCATCCCACCGCCATGACGCTCTTTCTGGCCCTCCCCTCCCACGCGCCAGCCCCGCGCCCCGCCTCACTTGCCTTCACACCCACTAGGTTGTTGTGGAAGTCCACACGGGCTCGCAGATCCTTGCTGGACCGCCGGCCCAGGAACTCCTTGACGAACTTGCTGCTGTACTTGAGGTTGTCCCCGCAGCCCCCCCACTGCCAGGCCTCACGGTTCTCCAGGTCGGGCGCCTCGTCGCAGGTACAGCGCTCCATGCGGCCCGCGCTGCACGCCTTGGCCAGTGCGTGGGTCAGGCCGGCCGAGGAGATGGCATAGAGGAAGGCGGTCTCCTTGAAGCCTGCAGTCGGCAGGGGCGGGTCAGTAAGCTCCCCCTTCACTGTGCTGAGCCAAACCACCCCAAGGGTATGAATCCCATGTGGGGGCTCCAATCATCTTTCCTGGGGCTGCACTCGGGACAGGATGTGGGTGTGCCCCAGGCGCAGGGCTGGCTGGGCTGGGGAGAAACCAGAGCCGTCTTGGCCACGGCTCCAGGTCCGTGGTCACAGTCCTCGTCGGGCCTTGAACCTCCCAGCCTCATCATGGGGCCCCTGGCAAGCTCTGCCTTGCCCTGGGCCTCGGGTCCCCAGTTTTTAAATGAGCTGCTGTGCTGCAGTGCGGAGGCACACGGCTGCAGCCCCAGCTACTCCCGAGGCTGAAACAGGCGGTGGAGAGCCCGTGGGAGGGGGTGGGAGGAGCCCCAGGTGGGAGGGTGGCTGAAACTAGGCGGTGGAGGGCCCCCATGAGGGCGGGAGGGGTGGGAGGAGGGTCTGCACAGGCATAGCCTACTGGGCACTGGGCCATCTGGCAGAAGCCAAGGGCTATCAGGGCAGCCCGGGGCAGCCTGGGTCCCTGTCAAAGGCTGAGCCAGCATACCCTGGCCACCAGCAATGACTGTGCCTACAGCAGCGCAGGGCAGGTGGTGCCCAGAGAGGTCAGGGGCTACCCTTTCCTCTGGCAGGAGGGTCCCCAGGAGTGCAGCCCAAGAGGGGCCTCCTGGGACACGGACGAGGCCTGGGCTGCCGCCTCTGCCCCGGCCTCCCTGAGGGCCGGGCCGGCCACACTCACCTCGCTTGAGCAGGCTGGCCCGGTAGCGGCCCTCCAGCGTGCAGTTCCAGCGCTCAAAGCGGAACTGGAACTGGCACTCCAGCGCGCTCATGCTCACGGCCTCCAGCAGCGTCTCCGCCACGCCCGGGTCCCGGCGGCACATGCGCCGCTGCTTCCGCTCCAACTTCAGCCGGTCGCAGGCCTTGTAGTGCGCCTGGGCGGCCGCCTCGGGCTCCAGTGTCAGCGGGAGGACAGTCAGGGGCTCGCTGCCTGTCAGCCTGGGCACGGAGAGGTCAGTGTGAGCCCGGCCTCGGGAAGCCCTGCTGGAGCCGGGCCAGGTGTCTCGGTGACCAGGGGACAGGGGACAGGCGTGACCATCCACGGGTGAAAGGGGCACACAGAACCCAGGATAAGCCAGGCAGGGGAGGGGGAGGGACACCCACGGCCCCCACTCCAGTGAGCATGGTCTCAGCAACCGCAGGGCTGACTCTGCTGCTGACTCCACCCCCACAGTTTCAGGGAGTCTAGCTGACTCTGGGCACACTGGACGGACGAGACCCCCACAACACACACATACGTAAGAGGACAACCCGACCCAGAACTGTGGGCAGGGAGGAGGTTCTGGAACCTGAACCCCAAGCTATGCCTGATGGGCATCTGCCACACCCTCCACCCTCTTCAGCCCCAGCTGACCCACAGGACCCAGCGTGAGGTCACCCGCCCCCCGCCATGACCCGCTGGGATGTCCCCCGGTCCTGTGGGCCCTGCAGCCTCCTAGCACTCCTACAGTCTGCGCAGATATTCTCAAGGTCCCCCCCTCAGTGGCTCGGTGTGTGGCACTGAGAAGCTGGCTCTCGGTTCCCTCCACTCCCCTCACCTCCCCAAGCCCGGATATCCTCCTTTGCAGGACAGACCCCAGCTAAACCATCCCTTAAGCCACCCCTGAGGGCCTCTGAGCTAAGGCACACCACCCTCATCTTTACACGAGGCCCGAACCGCCCCAGCACTGAGGACACACCCCCAACCTCCACTGCCCCGGGCACCCGGCTCCACCCCACTGGGTGCCCGATGTCGCCAGGCCGCCGCTGCTGGGCTCACTGCACAGGCTTCCCTCGCACCCCACCCTGGCCCAGCCCAGTCCACACTGAGCCAAGGCCGCCCAAGCCCCGAGCCCGCCCCATGTCACCTGTCTATCCTGGGACTGACTGCCCAGGCTCTGCAGCTCTGTGTCAGACCTGCCAGCCCAGTGTCCCCACACTGAACGTCAGGGTCCCCAGGCCCCATGGGGAAGGCAGGAAGGACCGGCCAGTCTCGGAGCCTAGACGCTGCCGTGGCTGACGCTGGGAGAGGCCTGGGGTGAGGGAAGGAGGCAGTGCACAAGGTCCCCTCGGACACCCTCAGGGTCAGGACAGGAGCACCGGTGGCGCTGTGGGCATCCATGCACAGATGCTTCCAAGTCCCAGGTCCAGCGATGGGCTCTCCCAGGACAGCTGGGCACACAAAGCCGGGCAGGGATGGGGGGCAGGCTAGGGAGCAGGGCCAGGAGACCTGCACTCCACACACGAAGGCAGCTTGCAGGCGGGGACCTCCATCCCCAGACGGAATGCCACAGCTGTGCCCAGAATAGCTCTCAGGAGGATGACAGCCTCCCACCTGTGCCTCTCCCCAGGCCTGGACCCGCCAGGACCCACAAGCCCAAGCCATTGTCCCAGAAAACCCCCAGAGCCAGGCTGGCACGGGCCCTCCACAAGTATGGACGGGGGACAGGGAGGCGGGAGCTGGAGGGCGCTAGGAAGAGGAGGGGGAGGGGAGGAGAGGAGGGGCCCCATCTACCAGAGCCAGCCCTCCCTCCCTGTCAATGGGGACTGAGAATATCAGCCTGCCCTGCCCCCTCCCTGTGACCCACCACCTCGCCCACACTGGTCAGGGTGAGGCCGGAGCACGCCGGGGCACTGAGAACTGGTTTGACGGTGACAAGCTGAGTCCTCCAGCCTTCCCTAGGGTGTCCCTGGAGCAGGTGGACAACAGGGCAGCAAGTGTGGCTGCACCTGGAGACTTGCTGGGCCGCTGCCCTCCCCTCCAGCCCCAGGACACCCCTCCATCAGAGGCAGCTCTATAAACGCAGCCGCAGGGGACTGACCCTGATCCAAGGCCAGGCAGGGTGGGCTGTCAGCACTGGCAAAAGGGTGTGGAGGGACAGTGACCCCCACCCCAGGAGCCATGGGGGACGGCCTGAGGCCCGAGGGCGACGTGGTTCCCTGGAGTAGTCACTGCGTGCTGTGCTGCTCTGACCACGCCTTCTTAAGCCCCCGCCGCTCACCTCTTCCGCCCCGGGTGGCCCCTGCCCCATGCCCCCTTTACTGTCAGGGTGGGCTCAGCATTGGCCAACCGGGGGAACTCAGAGCCTCGGGGGTTGCAGGTCTGAGGATTAACAGGCAGACAGGGCCAACGGGCATACTGGGGAGCATGACGGGTGATCTCGGGGTGTGAGCCCAGCAGAGGAGGCCCAGGAAGGAGGCCCAGACCCTCCTGACAGGTGCGGCTCTCAGGACAGGAACCTGCCACAACGGCTGAAGAAGGGAGGTGTGGTTCCCAACACAACCTCAGAACTGGGAGGCTTTCTTCCATGACACTCAGAACCCAGAAGACACTGAAAAGCAAATACATTTGACTACTTAAAAGTATAAAAATCAGGCCGGGCGTGGTGGCCAATGCCTGTAATCCAAGCACTTTGGAGGCCAAGGTGGGCAGATCACCCAGGTCGGGAGTTCAAGACCAGCCTGACCAACATGGTGAAACCCCGTCTTTAAAAAAAAAAAAAAAAAGTAGTATAAAAATCTCTGCATGGCAAAAACAAAACAGAGGCGGTGCAAAGTCCAGAGACCAACTGATGAACGACACCTGAGGCAAACCCTGCAACTGGCATCCAGACCAAGGCCCAGCGCTGTGCACACGTGTGTGTCTGTGCCTGCACATGTGTGTCTGTACGTGTGTCTGGATGCAAATCTCTTCCTATAAACCAATAACAAATGAACCGAATGAAGACAGACAGTGAGTATAAACCCACAGGTCAAGGGAAGGAAACCAACTGGCTCTTCGAACCCATGAGCCGACACTCAGCCCCGCTCCAAGACGTGCTGTGCCTGCTGTCCCAGCCGCTCCGGAGACCGTGACAGGAGGGTCCTTTAAGCCCCGGAACTGGAGAGCAGCCCAGGTAACAGAGCAACACCCCATCTCAGGAAAATATATATATTATATAAATAGATACATTATGCTTCATTAATTAATAAGTACATATCAAACGTGATGAGAATATTGTTAAAGACACGGGGAGACACTTCCATGGCTGGAATTCCAGACCGACATATAACCCACCGCAGGGCTCTGAATGTTTGCATCTTCCCGACATTCATATGCTCAAACCTAACACCATCGAAGTGGTGGCATTAGAGATGGGGCCTGTGGAAGATGATTAGGTGGTGAACAGGATTATGTCCTTATAGAGTCCAGGCCGGGCGCAGCGGCTCACGCATGTAATCCCAGCACTTGGGGAGGCCAAGGCGGGAGGATCACCTGAGGTTAGGAGTTCAAGACCAGCCTGGGCAACATATTGAGACCTGGTCTTTACAAAATATTTAAAAATTAGCCAGGCACGGTGGTGCATGCCTGTGGTCCCAGCTACTCAGGAGGCTGAGGTGGGAGGACCACTTGAGCCTGGGAGGTCAAGGCTGCAGTGAGCTGTAGTTAAAACACTAATAAAACAAAAATAAATAAAAGGGGCCCTAGAGAGACCGTTTCGTGAGGACACGGTGAGGAGGCACTGTCCATGAACCAGAAAGTGTTCCCACCAGACACAGAATCTGCTCCACCTTGACCTTGGACTTCCAGCCTCCAGAGCTGAGCAGCACGCTCCTGTGTCTGCAGGCTCGCAGGCTGTGGTGTTTCACCGCAGCAGCTGCGTAGACTGAGACGCCCGCCAATTCTCTTTCTGGAAGCACAGGCTGCACGCGCACTGCACCTTCCTGGCACGCCATTCAGCACAGCCTTGTGACAAGAACGTGCTGGAGACGGCAGAGCAGCTGCGGGCGTGGGACCCACATGCTCCGTGGCATGTCACGTGGTCCGTGAGAGGCAGCGCCGATGTGCATCCACGCCGAGTCGCCCCGGGCGTGCTCAGAGGATAAGCTCAGCAAGTGCTGCACGTGCATGCACGTGTTTGTGGCTGCACCGGACCAAGCAAAGACCCAAGATGGAGGAAGCGCGTTCTTCCACATAGCTGTGAGTTGTGCCGGTGCACGGTCTATTCAGAATCCACGCAGCTCATGCCACACTCAGCAAATGGTCCAGGCCCGGGCCCAGGAGGTGGGGGCTGCAGTGAGCCACAGTCATACCACTGCATGCCAGCCTGGGTGACTGAGTGATACCATCTATAAACTAACAGAAAAACCAGCTTGCATCACCCCGGTTTATATGAAGGTGACAGCAGCTACCCTGGTCTTGTTCTTCACCTTCAGAAGAATGCTTTCAACATTTCAGCATGAAGCCTGATGCGCAAACACCGTTTCAGGCCCCAGAGGCACCTTTGGTTCTTTGTTTGCTAAGAACCTTTAAAATCATAAATGGGTCCGGGCACAGTGGCTCACACCTGTAATCCCAGCACTTTGGGAGGCCAAGGCGGGCAGATCACTTGTGGTCAGCAGTTAGAGACCAGCCTGGTCAACATGGTGAAACCGTGTCTCTATTTAAAAAATAACAACAAAAATTAGCCAGGCATGGTGGCGCAGCCTGTAGTCCCAGCTACTCGGGAGGCGGAGGCAGGAGAATCACTTGAACCTGGGAGGTGGAGGTTGCAGTGAGCCAAGATAGCGCCACTGCACTCCAGCGTGGACAACAAGAGTGAGGCTCCATCTGAAAAAAAGAAAAATCCTAAGTGGATACTCAATGTTATCGAATGTCATCCCTACATCTTTCGAGGTATGACTCCTCTCTCGTCTACTAAGGTGAGAAGCTACAGAAACTGGCCCACGTTCTGTAGAAGTTTGTCTTTCCAGGCTCAACCTGACCAGGACAGGCTCCATCCTTTTCCACAGGGCTGGATGTCTTCTGATAGTGTCTTCCTAGGATTTTCACATCTGTGTGTGTGATTTCCTTCCCACTGAGTTTCAGTGCCTGGGTGAGGGGTCCTCTGTTTAACTTTCCTGGAAGAGTTTATATCAGGTGAGAATTGTATCTTAGCTGTTCTGAAGAACTAGCCATGACGCCAGCTAAGGAGTGAGCT